CATCGCTCTTAGGTTGGAGGCCATGGCTCTTAGGTTGGAGGCCATCGCTACTTGCCCCACTCCCTAAAAACAATATGTCATAGTTCTTTTGGGAACCCCTAAATTAAAACGCTGATACAGGAGACGAAACCGAATGGAAATTGTGGTAACATGGTGCTACAAACCGCTACAGTGCTGGAACTTCGACAAACATGTTTCTTCTTTCAGACCTTACGACTGTCCTTCGTTTACCCCTTCGTTTACCCCTTCTTATCGCCATTCGGCCTGACGCGCCGACGTATTGCCATTCGGCCCTAAACGCTAAGTCAATTATGCAACGATTTCGACAGACTTGCAACATATCAACTCCATTGCCTTACTAGTAGTAACAAGAAGCTAGTAGAAACAAGTGCCTTACTAGTAGTAACAAGTGCCTTACTAGTAGTAACAAGAAGCTATTAGTAGCTAGAAGCTATTAGGTTGGAGGCCGCAATTAGGTTGAACCGACAGGGTGGGCAAACTCAGGAGCTGAGTCTCTTGAAACCGCCAACATGCTGATTCATGGCAACTCCTCGGTTGACGTGCATCTACTGTATACCGTTTTACAACCGTGCACAGCCTTAAACACAAGAAACTACTAGGAACAAGCAGCTACTGGGTTCGACTGGGTTGGAGGCCATCGCTACTAGTAGCTCCTGGCCTTACTACTGGTAACAATGTTCACTACTAGGAGCTCCTAGGGCTTACTCAACACACCCAAACAAACCATATTGCCGTCCCGTCCTTGCGATCGATGCTCTCTTGCAGAAGGAACTTGGATGCACTTCGAGGGTAGTCGTGCACCAACCCTGTGGCCCGAATGAACGCGACGCCAAAGCCCGGCGCGCCGCCGTTGAAGATGCGCAGCGACATTTGGGCCACTTCTTGGCTGCCACGGAAGCTGGCGATCGGATGCTGCGGTGTGAAAAAGGGTGTTGGAAGAGGAGCTTCGGTATCTTCAGCATCAGGCCTTTCCCAACGAAAGGTCCAAGAATGCAACTCTTCTTGTCTTGACGGCATGGACATTCTTCCATCACCCGCGCTACTCGCGTGACGCATCTGTCTCCTTTGAAGCAAATGCTCTTGGAAGGAGCTGAACGCCGCATGAGTCCCGCCATCCAAACACATTTCAGAAGGAAGCTCTCCATGGCTGTTTCGTGAGCCAGTGGGTGCTCCAGCCTGCAACGTGAGAAATCAGTGAACGGCGGAGCACACCAAGCATGAACAAAGTGTAAAAAAACATTACATGTATTTTAAGACATGCAAACATTGTATGAAAAAAAATATAGATCGATCATATATCTTATGTGTTTTCTTTCAACCTATCTTTAATATATGCACAACAAAAAAAACGGATGTCGCTCCTTCAACAACATCACCACAATGTTGCACCGCGACATCCGTGCAGCCACATGAAGTGGAGTCCAACCAGCCACATCAGCTCGATCCAGCGCAGGCCGATGCCTCACTCTGCTCCAAAAATGACTCTTTATTCAGGTAGCGATTATGATTTGTATTACGTCTTCATGTTTAGTTTGTTCTTTTTTCATTTTTCTAAATTGTCTAATTCGTCTCTAAGGGTGATGAAGGCAAGGCTCTTCAGAAGTTCTTGTAGAACATACGTGGAGCCAGCTCTGCACGCCACCTCGCAGCAACTGCGAACGACACGTTCGTTCGGAACGCCTCCGCGCGCCGCTTTGCACCATGCTTTGCTACAAGCCGCTGACCAAGGCTAGCCAAGGGACATGAAGGCCAGTGGTGTTGTTGGAATCATGGGCGAATGGAGATGCCCCAAAGCGCAACAGCCAGCGGACAGCTACCAAGTTCGAAGTTCCACAGAAATACAGAAAATTCCTGCTTCAGAGCTTGCAAATGCTTTCAGTCTTGCATAGAAACTGATCACTTCAGGTTCAAACAAATCCAACAAGATCGGGTCCAAGGAATCCTGTTGACAAGCGGCGGTTAATGTTTAGCTCACATCTCGGTGGAGGAAGCCATTGCTTTTAGGAACAAGAAGCTACGAACGGAACAAAGGGCATCGCTACTAGGAGCAAGGACGCTACTAGGGGCTCCTGGCATCTCCTGTACGCAAAGGAAGACTCTGAAAAACCACGTGGTGCGTGAAGAGTGCAGCTCATCCAGTCGTGCAATCCACATCTCCAAACCCATTTCGCTTCGAGAAAACAGGTGGCCAGAAGGGATGGATGGCTTGCGGAGGGGGTAGAGGACACTAATAGCAATGACCTCCAACCTAATAGATGATTCGACTGCCCGGGGCCCAGACCAAGTTTGTGATTCGACTCCACAACGCAGTTGCGACGCAGTTGATCGTTCGAAGCAAGTAATTAGATGTTGTGCCGCTAAGGCTTTGATCTGTTGTGCCGCTAAGGCTTTGCCGCTTCAGCAAAGGTCTTGGTGGTGCAAGACCAAAAAGAGAGCGTCAAGTGTGAGAGTCAAAATGAGTTCATCACTGAAGCATCATCGGGCATATATACATAATTTCCACTCAATCAAGAGTAAATGAATGAGATGGTTTTGAAGGGGTTTTGAACTGTCTCTTTGAATTTGGCTTTGCATTGAGACAAAGCCTTGGAGAAGCATTAGCTGCTTTCCACGCAGAACTTTGGAGCGCCTTGTCGTGGTGTCGTTAGGCACTGATGTTTCTATGGCTTGGAGATGTCTGGAGGGCATTTTAGTTCGGAAATTCATGCTTCTTCCCACATAGGCACAGAAACAATTGGGGTTGTGTGGGGGAGTTTGTTGCAATGCTGCTCAGGCCGGAGCCCAAATGGTCAACTTCTTCATTTGCAGATGTTGTACCCTGCACTTGCTTTTTTTTAAGTATCCGGATATTGTAAAAACACAATCTTTGACACTTTGACCTGCTCTATGCAGCGCCCCAAGTCAGGCATCTGATGGACGGGTGAACGAATGGAATGGACAGTGCTGCAAACACAAGCGGAAGGAATGGACGGTCGGGGGCATTGTCACTCGAACCGCTTGTCTGAATTGTGCGTCCTGTCCAAGCAAACCTAATACTTCAGGCGAACAAAAGTGTATGCTTGTTAACCATGTTCATAAAACGCTGTAGGGTCCGCTGCGGATCGAATTACCAAGTCCAATTTTCGTGGCAAGTGTGGGACGGTCAAGTATCACACCGTTTTAAATCTATGATGGCTTCCCGGTATGAAAAGTGACCGGGCACCCGTTCCCAGCAAGGGTTGTAATGAGTTTGAGTTTCAAGAAGTGCAACTTTTGTCTGGCCAGTGTAGTGATGGCCTCCAACCTACTAGCGTGGCACTTGTTACTAATAGCTTCTTGTTACTAGTGAGT